TCGTGGCCCCATAGGGAGCTCCACCGAAGGCCCCCAGTGGCTGCGTTCGCATGGCGGCCTCGGGCCATTTTGGCACACCCCTCACGAGGATCGTGGCCCCATAGGGAGCTCCACCGAAGGCCCCAGTGGCTGCGTTCGCATGGCGGCCTCGGGCCATTTCGGCACACCCCTCTCGAGGATCGTGGCCCCATAGGGAGCTCCACCGAAGGCCCCAGTGGCTGCGTTCGCATGGCGGCCTCGGGCCATTTCGGCACACCACTCACGAGGATCGTGGCCCCATAGGGAGCTCCACCGAAGGCCCCCAGTGGCTGCGTTCGCATGGCGGCCTCGGGCCATTTCGGCACACCCCTCACGAGGATCGTGGCCCCATAGGGAGCTCCACCGAAGGCGCCCAGTGGCTGCGTTCGCATGGCGGCCTCGGGCCATTTCGGCACACCCCTCGCGAGGATCGTGGCCCCATAGGGAGCTCCACCGAAGGCCCCAGTGGCTGCGTTCGCATGGCGGCCTCGGGCCATTTCGGCACACCCCTCCGAGGATCGTGGCCCCATAGGGAGCTCCACCGAAGGCCCCCAGTGGCTGCGTTCGCATGGCGGCCTCGGGCCATTTCGGCACACCCCTCACGAGGATCGTGGCCCCATAGGGAGCTCCACCGAAGGCCCTAGTGGCTGCGTCCGCATGGCGGTTTCGGGCCATTTCGGCACACTCCCCACGAGGATCGTGGCCCCATAGGGAGCTCCACCGAAGGCGCCCAGCGGCTGCGTTCGCATGGCGGCCTCGGGCCATTTCGGCACCCCTCACGAGGATCGTTGCCCCATAGGGAGCTCCACCGAAGGCCCGCAGTGGCTGCGTTCGCATGGCGGCCTCGGGCCATTTCGGCACACCCCTCACGAGGATCGTGGCCCCATAGGGAGCTCCACCGAAGGCCCAGTGGCAGGGTTCGCATGGCGGCCTCGGGCCATTTCGGCGCACCCCTCACGAGGATCGTGGCCCCATAGGGAGCTCCACCGAAGGCCCCAGTGGCAGGGTTCGCATGGCGGCCCGGGCTATTTCGACACACCCCTCACGAGGACCGTGGCCCCATAGGGAGCTGCACCGAAGGCGCCAGTGGCTGCGTTCGCACGGCGGCCCCGGGCCATTGCGGCACATCCCTCACGAGGATCGTGGCCCCATAGTTGTGCTGCTTCAGCAACCTCGCCTGGGCGTCGTACTCCGCCTCGTCGACGTGCAACGCCACCTCCTCCCTCATGGCTCTCAAGGCCTTCTCCTGTTTCTGCTCCTCGGTGAGAGGGGTGCCGTCCTTGTCGTCATCGGCGCCCGCGAAGACGGCCACGAACGTGTCCCTGAGCATGTCGGGCTCCGGCGGAAAGCCGTGACCACATAAGGAGCGCGGGCCGAGATGGCATTGACAATTGCAGTATTTTCACAACAGCATATGGTTGGGTCCTTCGCCAGGCTAATTTGAAACCGTGGTAGCATGTCTACTAGTAACAGTAATCGTATTCGGAATAACAGTCGTCATTTTTGATCGATCAAATCTTTGTAGTAGTAATGTTAACAGCAATCGTAATACTAATGCTGACAGTACTCGTAGTAGTCCTGGTAAAAGTATGTAGGGACAAGTCATGGAAATAGTAATTGTACTAGTCATTATCATAGTCATGACAATAGTAGATGTATGAGGAATAGTATTAGAAAAAGTGTTAGTAAGAGTGACACTATTAGTCACAGTACTAGAAAAGTATTAGAAATAGTACTAGTCATAGTAGTGGTGCTAGTGTTAGTCGTACTGATAGTGAGAGTAACCATGAGGGTGATGGTGATCGTAGTATTGGTAGTGGTAATAGTATTCGAACAAGTTACAATACTAGTAAGTGTATCAGTACTGGTACTAGGGTCTAGTAGTCGTAACAGTCATAGTCGTAGGCATAGCCATAGTTATAGTAGTAGTATTCGTATCCTTTGTCAATCGTAATTGTGTCAGTAGTAGTGGTAGTAGTAGTAGTAGTAGTAGTAGTAGTAGTAGTAGTAGTAGTAATAGTAGTAGTAGTAGTGGTAGTAGTAGTAGTAGTAGTAGTAGTAGTAGTAGTAGTAGTAGTAGTAGTACTAGTAGTAGTAGTAGTAGTAGTAGTAGTAGTAGTAGTAGTAGTAGTAGTAGTAGTAGTAGTCGTAATCGTATTAGAAATAGTATTAGAAATAACAATCGGAGTAGTAATAGTAAGACTCGTAGTACTAGTCATAGTAATGGTACTCGTATTCGTATTCGTAATAATGATAGTAATAGTAATAGTGATCGTACTAGTAACCGCAAAGGTGTTAGTAATAGTATTAGTAATCGTAGTCGTAATAGTCGTAGTACTCGTAATTCTAATAGTGATCGTGATCGTAATCGTCATCGTGATTATATTCTTACTTGTAACGGTAACAACCATAGTACTAGCACTAGTACGGGTACTCGTACTAGTTGTAGTAATCGTATGAGTAATCGTAAAAGTAATCGTAGTAGTAATGATACTATTAATCATAATACTAATACCAATAGTAATATCATTATTAATATTAACACTAATCGTGATAGTATTAGTAATGATAATCGCAATTGTAATAGTCTTAGTAAAAGTATTATTAGTAGTAGTCATAACAATACTAGCAATAGTAATAGTCATAGTAATACAGCTGATCAGAACAAAATAGAATGAGAGGGCGAGGTAGCTGAGGTGACGAGCGAGACGGGAAATAGCACGGAGGAGGAAGATGAGGATCGAGGGACGCTTGGGGGAGTCAGCCTTCCGTTCCTACGTGGCATACAGGAAGGACAGTAGCACAGCGCGAGCACGCTTGGCCAGGTCACGGTGGCCGAGCCCGCCATCAGGCCGCCCAAACCCTACGGGGGCTACGGCGGCGGCGGCTACGGCGGCTACGGTGGCCAGAGCGGCGTCTTGGGCAACGCGCCAGACTCCAGAGGAGGGGCGACTGGAATGTGGAGGCGAGGTTCGAGGATAGAGTTATTTTTTGGCTTGTGGCATTCTGGGGCCTCCCGGAGTGTCCTCGTCTCTTCGGCCGGGTCCCGACGACGCCTGTAGGGCAGTCGGAAAATCCATCCCCTGGGTTTAGGAGGAAGAGATGAGACGCGAAGGGGGGACAGAAACGAGGACTCATCGTGTGGAGCGGGAAGACGACGTGATATGGGGTTTGCAGGGGGAAGCGACGCAGGGGAAGCATGTGCGTCTTTCAGAAGCGCGTGGACGTGCCCGCGGGCGTCAGAAAGTCAGAATACATAGTGCGGGTGGCGAGGCAAGGAGAAGAAACAACACATGAGGCACTCTCGGCATTCATCGTGACCGCTGCTAGATGACAGATTCGCCCGCTTAGCAACGCGAGCGTTGCCCCCCCCCCAAGCCCGCGAACGGACTAGATGTGCCTTTTGGCTTGGGGCTGCTGCAGGCGTGTTGGCCATTCTGGGAAGTATGCAAGGCACAATTCTTGCTGATTTGGTTGGCGTTGGATGTGCCAGAGTAGGGCTGTGGCCTAGCCTGCCGCTCGTGAGTCCGCTCTTTGTCAACGACATGTTGTGCCGGTAGTTGCCGCTGCTGGTGCAGTTATGCATAGCTTGAGTAATAATATGATTTTCTTCTTCGTCGAGGCCTTTGCTGGACCGGGTTGTAGGTTGCATTACCACAGGAGGAGAAGGGATCATGATGAGGAGGGAGCATGGATGAACGAGGTGGAAGAGAAAGGAGGGAGCGAGGGGAGGAGGAAACTGGATGATGAGGAGGGGGACGAAGAAGGGTGGAACGGGGAGGAAGAGGAGCAATCTGATGACGAGGAGGAGGGAGCAGGGATCCGAAATGAGGCCGATGAGTAAGTAAGTAGAGGAGCCGAGGGACGAGAACGATTGCAAGGACGAGGCATTGGCGCAGGAGGGCCTGTAGTTACAGTTGCAGTCGTTGTAGTAGTGGCGGTGGTGGTGGTGGTTGTGGTGGTGATAAGAGTACCAGTAGTAGTAGTAGTAGTAGTAGTAGTAGTAGTAGTAGTAGTAGTAGTCGTAGTAGTAGTAGTAGTAGTAGTAGCAGCAGTAGTAGTAATCGTAGTAGTAGTCGTCGTCGTAGTAGTAGTAGTAGTAGTAGTAGTAGTAGTCGTAGTAGTCGTAGTAGTCGTAGTAGTCGTAGTAGCCGTAGTAGTAGTAGTAGTAGTAGTAGTAGTCGTCGTCGTAGTAGTCGAAGTAGTAGTAGTAGTAGTCGTAGTAGTAGTAGTAGTAGTAGTAGTAGTAGTAGTAGTAGTAGTGGTCGTAGTAGTAGTCGTAGTAGTCGTAGTCGTAGTCGTAGTAGGAGTAGAGGGTAGTTAGTAGTGAGTAGTAGTTAAGTAATAGTAGTAGTAGTGGTAGTAGTAGTAGTAGTAGTAACAGTAGTAGTAGTAATGAATTCGATGTAGTAGTAGTAGTAGTAGTAGTAGTAGTAGTAGTCGTAGTAGTAGTTAGTAGTAGTAGTAGTAGTAATAGTAGTAGTAGGAGTAGTCGTAGTCGTAGTCTAGTCGTAAGTCGTATCGTTAGTAGTAGTAGTAGTAGTAGTAGTAGTAGTAGAAGTAGTAGTAGTAGTAGTAGCAGTAGTCGTAGCAGTAGTAGTAACAGTAGTAGTAGTAGTAGTAGTAGTAGTAGTAGTAGTAGTCGTAGTAGTCGTAGTAGTCGTAGTAGTCGTAGTAGTCGTAGTAGCCGTAGTAGTAGCAGTCGTAGTAGTAGTCGTCGTAGTAGTCGTCGTAGTAAGCGTAGTAGTAGTTTTGAGTAGTAGTAGTAGTAGTAGTAGTAGTAGTAGTAGTAATCGTAGTAGTAGTAGTTGTAGTAGTAGTAGTAGTAGTAGTAGCAGCAGCACGTAAGTATAACAAAAGAGTAGTAGTATATGTTAACGTAGTCGTAGTCGTAGCACCGGTGTTGGTGGTTGCAGTGCTAGTGGCAACGTGTAGATAGTTAGGTCGAAGTAGTTCTTATAGTAGTAGTAGTAGTATTACTA